ACCAATCCCAGCATGCACCGCGGCAGTTTCTCTCCCTCTAGTGGCCTCTCAGAGCGTTGCGTCACGATTTACGCGCTTGATTGGCAACTTGGCTTTGAAAGAGGAAGACTCCTTGTGAAGTCACCGTTTTTAACCACGGCTCAGTGCTATGAAACCACGGGGTTTATAGTTTCACAAGGTTTTTCCCCGCCTTGCCAAAGAGGGCTGGTGCCTCACCAAACTACAAATCTCGGGATTTCGTAGTATTAAGCCATGGCAGTTAAAGCGGTTTCAAACTGGATTAAATCTACATTGTAGATGCATACACTGCCATACGACTCCAGATTATCTGATTTGAACTGGATTATATTAGTTTACGGGGAGCCCTTGGTGGCGCTAAGCTGCTGAACTTGCTGACTGGAAGGACGAAGGTTCGAATTTGGGGAACGGGGTGAGCTCCTTCTGTTAGCCCCAGCTTCTGCCAACCTAGCAGTTTGAAAACATGCAAATGTGAGTAGATCAATAGGTACCGCTCTGGCGGGAAGGTAATGCCAGTCACATGATCTTGGAGGTGTCTACGGACAACGCCGGCTCTTCTGCTTAGAAAAGGAGATGCGCACCAACCCCCAAAGTCGGACACGACTTAATGTGAGGGGAAAACTTTTACCTTTACTTATGATGCCTTATTCCTGTTCTCCCGGTGGCGCAGTGGGTTAAACCACTGAGCTGCAGAACTTGCTGACTGAAAGGTTGCAGGTTTGAATCTAGGGAGCAGGATGAGCTCCCACTGTTAGCCCCAGCTTCTGCCAACCTAGCAGTTCGAAAACATGCAAATGTGGCGGGAAGGTAACAGCGCTCCATTCAGTCATGCCGGCTACATGACCTTGGAGGTGTCTATGGACAACGTCAGCTCTTTGTCTTAAAAATGGAGGCCATACAAAGCAGTTTCCATCAAACAATCCGGATCCACTATAAGGCAGTGTAGACGGGGCCTGAGAGAGTGTGACTCGCCCAATGGGTTTTGAACCCAGGCCTTTCCCAAACCACTACAATCCAAAACCCTATTCAAGGAAGTTTATTCCTGAGTTGAGGATAGGATATTATTCTTCAGCTCTGCAATACATTCTCCTTTCTTGGAAGGAATAATTTAGCTCTCTGCACATTATTATTTGAGTTGGTCTAAGAGTGCATCTATATGGCAAAATTAATGCAACTTGACTCTGGTTTCATTGCCAGGGCTCAATGCTATGGAACACTGGGATTTGTAGTTCGGCAAGACACCAGGAGCCCTCGGTGGTGCAGTGGGTTAAACCGCTGAACTGCTGAACTTGCTGATCGAAAGGTTGCAGGTTTGGATCCGGGAAGCAGTGTCAGTTCCTGATGTTAGTCCTAGCTTCTGCCAATCTAGCAGTTTGAAAACATGCAAATGTGAGTGAATCAATAGGTATTTATTTATTTATACCCTGCCACCATCTCCCCAAGGGGACTCAGCATGGCTAACAAGAGGCCAAGCCCAACAACAAAGCAAAAAGAATACATACAACAAATAATACATCAAATAAAATGTAAATTGTCAGGTTTTACAATGTATTGTAATGTAATATAGCTGAGTCATGCACTGCTAATAGACTATTGGAAATGCTGAGTCATGCATTAACTGTATATAGGGAATCATTTGGGGAATGTGTTCTGGCCTAGTCCAGATGATTGTGAATGATGTAATCCTGGCTCTGAGTTAAGTTAATGAGTTGGGAACCAATCAGTGATTGCTATGTGTAATTGTGCTGTGATGCTGTTCGTCGAAGGCTCTATGTAATTGATTAAAATAACCTGTCTACTAAGACAAGATATAACTGTGTGCTGTGGTAAGTTTGTAGTGTTATCTAGATTGGAGGGGAAAACAATAGTAAAACTGACAATGGCCGGGCATGTGCTCAAGTGTCTGTAAAAGAGTTCCAGAGTGACTGCAGTTTGTGGGAGCAATTGACTGAAAATACTGTGCAGGAAGAAGCTACTGGAAAGCGCTGAAGTTGTGCAACTGATCTGCTGCTGAATTGTGAAATTAATCTCAAGATAAACAAAACAAAATAATATAAGATAAACACAGGATATAAAACAAAATAACAAAAAATGAGCACAGGTACCACTTCTGTGGGAGGTAATGGTGCTCCACGCAGTCATGCTAGCCACATGATCTTGGAGGCATCTAGGGACAACGCTGGCTCTTCGCTTAGAAATGGAAATGAGCCCCACCACCCCGGAGTTGGAAATGACTGGACTTCATGTCAGGGGAAAACCTTTACCTTAAGACACCGGGACTTCTGAGTAAGGACGTCATGACACTACAGTTCTCATGATTCCACAGCATGAAGGCATAGCACTGAAAGTAGTGTCAACACTATATACCAGTGGTTCTCAACCTGGGGGTCGGGACCCCTGGAGGGGTCACTAATGACCACCAGAAAACACAGTATTTTCTGTTGGTCATGGGAGCCATATGTTTTTTATGGTTTTAATTGTATACTGTGCACTGTATATTTTGTTGTAAACCGCGTTGAGTCGCCAATTAGGCTGAGAAACGGCGGTATACAAGGACAGTAAATAAATAAATAAATAAATAAATAATAAATATGTGGGAAGTTTGGCCCAATTCTGTCGTTGGTGGAGTTCAGAATGCTCTTTGATTGTTGGTGAACTACAAATCCCAGCAACTACAACTCCCAAAATGTCAAGGACTATTTTCCCCAAACTCCACCAGTACTCACATTTGGGCATGTTGAGTAGTCGTGCCAAGTTTGGTCCAGATCCATTATCATTTGAGTTCACAGTGCTGCTCTCTGGATGTAGGCGAACTACAACTCCAAAACTCAAGGTCAATGCCCACCAAACCCTTCCAATATTTTCTGTTTGCCATGGGAGTTCTGTGTACCAAGTTTGGTTCAATTCCATTGTTGGTGGAGTTCAGAATGCTCTTTGATTGCAGGTGAACAACAAATCCCAGCAACCACAACTCCCAAATGACAAAATCAACCCCCCCCCCCCAACCCCACCAGTATTCAAATTTGGTCTACGGAATGAAAATACATCCTGCGTATCAGATATTTACATTACGATTGATAACAGTAGCAAAATGAGAGTTATGAAGTAGGAAGGAAAATAATTTTAGGGTTGGGGGTCATCACAACATGAGGAATTGTATTAAGGGGTCGCAGCATGAGGAAAGTTGAGAACCCCTGCTATATACGGACTACACATTGAAATCCACAAGCATGTGGACAGTTTCAGCAGAAGGGAAGAAACCATGAAAACAAACAAAATCTGGCAACCAGTATTTTTAAAAACTCTAAAATCAGGACAAATAAACAAAGCACAACACTCAGAAAACGGCAATTCCAGACAGGAAACAATCAGGGCAGCTAACACCTTCCAAAGGATTTTCGCCAGACAGGAAGCAATCAGGCTTTGAACCTACAAGTCTATTCAATACTAATCAAGCTGGCCAATAGCAACATTCACACTTGCCTCCAACAGACGAGTTCTCTCTCCCACCCTGGACATTCCGCAGATATTTTAACCCCACTTGCAGTTTCCAACAGACCTCAAAACCTCTGAAGTTAAAGTGTCAGGAGAGAATGCTTCTGGAACATAGCCATACAAGCCCAGAAAACTCACAGCAACCCACAACACATACAGAAACCAGCACATCACACGTTGCTTTTTCATTGCAAGTGCAAACACATACTTTCTTGTTTATTTTTTGATACAGAAATTGGTAGCTCCACGTAAATGGAGCCTCAAAAAATTGGTTACAAACTCATAAATGTTCCTCTCCACGGAAATCTTTAGTAAAAGGCGAAAGATTTATACGATCTGAAGAGAAACCAGAGTATACTCCTTTTCCTGCCACTCCGAGGCCCACAATATCCCCGCCTGCTCTTGAGGTGATAGTGACACCAGAAAAGCGACTCTTAATTTTCCTTTTCAGAAGATTATATAAACATGTCGGAGTTTTTATACGTTCTTAAAAAAACATTAATGTTCATGTTGGCAAAGAAAACGAGCAGAAAATGCGGCAAAACTATTTCCTGTAGCGCAATGCACCATGGTTGCAAAAATATGCAAATTACCCTTCCGCCCACGTGATTCCCCCCCCCCCGTTTGCAACCTGATTGTAACAGAGCTTTCTTGCAATTATACTGTTACTTTCCCCAAAAGTAATGTAAGGATGTCCAATGAAAAGTAAATACTTTTGGGCTACCACTCCCATAATCCCTAGATATTTACTTTCTGGCTTGGGGATTCTGGGACTTGTAGTCCCAAAGGGCAACATTTTGGAGTTCTGGGATCCGAGCTGAAATTTAAAGGCAAATCACCTTGCTTTTTGCCCTATTCTGAGCTGCATCTATACCAGGTATGAGCAGACTTTGGTGCTCCAGGTGTTTTGGACTCCAACTCCCACCATTCCTAACAGCCTCAGGTCCTTTCCTTTTCTCCCTCAGCCGCTTAAGCCTGAGGGCCTGGGGCTGTTAGGAATGGTGGGAGTTGGAGTCCAAAACACCTAGAAGGCCCACATTTGCCCATGCTGGATCTACACTGGAATTAATGCAACTTGACAACACTTTGGGTGCTGTGACTCCATGCTATGGAATCATTTAAGTTGTAGTTTTACAAGGTCTTTCAATGTGCTCCATATGTCAAGAAGAATCAGTTTGGCAAGGGGAAAAACTCCCTGAACAATATAGAAGGGAAATCAATTTAACTAAGAGTTGGATTTTATTTTTTTATTTACCTCTGTTTAATATTTATCTCCAAATGATGTGTTTCTGAGGACGAAAAATATAAATAACTGCATTTATTATAATATTTTGGCAATATCAGTAGCAGCACTTGGAAAATGGAGTTCTGCTGCTACAGTTTCTGTAATTCCACAGTACTGATCCAAGCCACTAAAAGTTTTGTTAAATTGCATTAGCTATACAATGCAGGTGCATCTTAAACCAGGTACTTATATTTATTTATATTGCAAGGACAAAAAAACGGTTAGCCCTTCAGAAGTTTTGGACAACACATTCCAGAAGCTCCAAGCAGCATCACCAATGTCAAGGGACTGTAAGAGCTATGGAAGCGTCTGGGGAATGAGACTTCCTACTCCTGGCATACAGTCATTACAGAAGAAGCAAAACCTCCCTTTCTTTCTTGCCAGTTCCTAGGTCTTACTTATCCCAACCCACAACTGCAAACGCAAACAGAAGCCATTGCTATAGTGATGATCCCAGCCGCTCTTGGCTACTTGGCTGTATTCTTTTGGCAAGTTGGCACCACACCCCAGTTACCAGCATAGCAACTCAGAAACACGATATGCCCATGTAGCTCTTTCCTTCGAAGAAGGGCAAGTGATTAATACCTTCCAGATAAATACCTTCTTACGATGACAGATTTGGTGGTCTTCCGCTGCCCCAGCTGCGAGATGGGCTTCCATTCCAGGAAACTGCTAGAAAAGCACATGGAAAAATTCTGCATCGGTCGAGATACAACTCTTGTAAGTGATGCCAAATAAGGGATGCTAAATACTGCATAAGCACTGCATAAGGGCAAAGAAAGTAGGAATGGAAATAGAACTGACTGTTTGCTACATTGCCTTAATGTTAACTCCATATTATGGCAACCCAATTATTTAGTTTTATTGGCAAGATTTGTTCCGGGGACATTCATCTGAGGTTGAGAGAGAGTGGCCTGCCCAAGGGCATTTAATGTGTTTTCTGGCCTCTTGGAGTGGTAGTCTAAAGTTTAAATTACTATACCACACCTAGATAGGTATATTTGGTTGCTGTTTGATATTCTAAAAAAAAGTCAACACTTTTCATCCAAATATTTTGGAGTTACTATTATAGGTGTCGGTTAATCCGTTGCAACGAATTTTGATGACTAAAGGATTGGTAATCATGGACGATGAATTTTGGACTGCGATTCCAGTTATGAGATGCATGGGATTATTATTGGTGGCCCAATAATTTGTATTGTATATGTGTTTTATGCTTCTAAACTGAATACTGTTTTTTAAATGTTGTAAACCGCAATGAGTCGCCGACTTAGGCTGAGATATTAGCGGTATACAAGCGTATAAATAAATAAAATATAGGAGGGAAATATTTATGTACAGGCAATCCCCGAGTTACAAACATCAACCTTACAGTTGCCTTCAAAGGGCCATTGAATCCATGAACGGAGAATCCATGGATACAGAGATCCAACTATTTATTTCTTGCATATTGATTAGTGTTGTTTAGTTTTTACCTAGTTTGGCTTCCTAGACATTCTTGAATGACCACTTCCATCACTTTTGATTATCTGCCATGCAGACTGAGGATAATGGAAACTGCATTTATTTGGGGTTTTTTTAAAAATATATATAAGATAACAATCTTTGAACAGATAATAAATATCTATTGTGGACTTACATTATGGTAAAGTACGTTCCAATATATCTGTTCACCTTCTTTACAGATTAATTCTCTTTACATTTTTATTTTTTTCTCCCACCTACTCTGACCTCCCTTCCCCACTCCACGCCACCCACCACATTTTCCTCTATATCAGCGTTTCTCAGCCTGGTGGTCAGGACCCCTGGGGGAATCGTGACGGGTTGTCAGAGGGATCACCAATGACCACCAGGAAACAGTATTTTCTGTTGGTCATGGGGGTTCTGTATGGGAAGTTTGACTCCATTCCAACGTTGGCAGGGTTCAGAATGCTTTTTAATTGTAAGTAAACTATAAATCCCAGTAATTACAACTCCCAAATGTCAAGGTTTATTTTTCCCCAAACTCCACCAGTGTTCACATTTGGGCAAATTGAGTATTCATGCCAAGTTTGGTCCAGATCCATCATTGTTTGAGTCAACAGTGCTCTCTGAATGTAAGTGAACTGCAACTCCAAAACTCAAGGTCAATGTCCACCTAACCCTTCCAGTATTTCTGTTGGTTATGGGAGTTTTGTGTGCCAAGTTTGGTTCAATTCCATAATTGCTGGAGTTCAGAATGCTCTTTGATTTTAGGTGAACTATAAATCCCAGCAACTACAACTCCCAAATGACAATATCAATCCCTCCCCCAACCCCACCAGTATTCAAATTTGGGTGTATCGGGTATTTGTGCTAAATTTGGTCCAGTGAATAAAAATACATCCTGCATATCAGATATTTACATTACGATTCATAATAGAAGCAAAATGACAGTTATGAAGTAGTAATGAAAATAATTTTGTGGTTGGGGGTCACCACAACATGAGGAACCACAACATTAAGGGGTTGCAGCATTAGGAAGGTTGAGAACCACTGCTCTATATCTTTAACCACGAACACAACCTTCTTAATCTTTGTACAATATCTATACTGGCTTCACCTTCTTCTACCCATTTAATATAAATTGCCCATTTCTCTTTAATTAGTACTATTTTGTCCTCCTTAATTAGTACTATTTTGTCCTCCTTAATTAGTACTATTTTGTCTTCCTGTGAACCTTCTTGAGTTATACCTGTAATAATGTCTGATTGGATTTGCTCAAATAAAGAGTTATTCCAATTTTCTTAATTCCATTTTTCCATCTCTCCATCCTCAGGCAATAATAATAATAATAATAATAATAATAATAATAATAATAATAAACTTTATTTCTACCCCGCCACCATCTCCCTGATGGGGACTCGGTGCGTCTTACATGGGGCCAAGCCCGGACAACATAATGCAGCAATAAAATCAAAGCATATACAACAAACAACAACATTATCAAAATGACATTAAAAGAAAAAAATCAAAAAATAAACATTCCAATAGACACAATCACGGTAGTAATGACAATGGGTGGGCCACATATTCAGGATAAAAACAGTTAACAAACTATGATGAGATAAAATAGGAGCAGGACGTTTATATGGAACTCATAAAACACAAAGAGCTGTGAGGCTAAACATCCTATTTGGAGGGCACGAACTCCATTAGCAGAAAACGTTGAGGGGTGCAAAATATCATGCTGTGCACCTACTCACCAAAGGCACAGCGGAAAAGCCAGGTTTTGAGGTTCTTTTTAAATGTTTCTAGTGCCTTTCCTTTCCTGGTAGAATAATTGCTTTAAACAGATCTTGGTTCTTCGCATCAATGTTTTGTGTTGCCTATAGCTGCTATTAGCATAAGTCCAATGTTAATATGAATTGTTATTTTGAGCAGTTTCCCTATTTTTAATCTACGTTATCCCACATTTTTTTTGCATTTAAACAATATGGGAATTACACTTGTGACTTTAAGGCTGAGGAAAAGTTAAAGGACATTTTAAAGTCAGCCTTGTGTCTAAATTCAAATCTCACTGTTCTGACTAAAACAGAATAAACAACAGCATTCCAGATGTCCCTGTACCACAACTCCCATCAGCTCTTGTCATTATGTTTAATAATAAGGAATACTGTAGTTGTAATCCAACACATTGAAGGCCACATAAAATGACACAGAGGGTTTGGCTCGTAGACCTTGAATTTCACAAGTAGACCCTGTACAATAAACCAGTAACAGCTTCATATTTGAATTTAACAAATCATCTCTTATCGGAGGTTTTCACAACTGTTCTGGCATATTTTCTCCTTCCGATAAGCATCAGTTAATATAGCTCTTTGGGGGAGAAGCCTAAGGCCCTTGCTTCTCTTCACATAATGTTTCTTTTGTCTTTCAGGGCCCTTCCACACAGCCCTATATCCCAGAATATCAAGGCAGAAAATCCCACAATATCTTCTTTAAACTGGGCTATCTGTGGCCACACTGACATATAACCCAATTCAAAGCAGATAATGTGGGATTTTATTCAGCTGTGTGGAAGTGGCCCCAGAAGGCGGAGAGAATGAGCAGAATTCACACCTGCCCCCTTGAAGAACTTCACTTAAACATTCTGACTTCCTCTGAACTCAAATCTAAATGGCTAATTTCTCTTTTCCGTCCTGCTGTTTGATTTCCTTGGAATAGAATCCTGAGCCAGAAGCATCAAAACCAACAAGGCACCACATGAAAAACTTGGAAGATGAGGAAAACAAGCAGCAAGGGTCTGACTTAAGAAGCTTAGACCACACAGGAAGTCTTTCCAACAGCCAGATGTTGAAGAAACTGACTGAAGAGGTATTGCAGAAAAAAGGAAGGAAATTACTATTTTTGCAGACAAAGTTGACCTTACCGTCTTTATAATATAATATTATTTTCCCCGTAAGATTGATATTATAAAGAAAATAGGGTCAGTTTTAATCGTTCTAGATCAGGCATGGGCAAACTTTGACCCTCCAGGTGTTTTGGACTTCAACTCTCACAATTTCTAACAGCCGAAAGGCTGTTAGGAATTGTGGGAGTTGAAGTCCAAAACACCTGGAGGGTCAAAGTTTGCCCATGCCTGTTCTAGATTAACCCTATTCTGTCATCTCATAAACCTATATCTTTAGTCTCTAGATCAGTGGTTCTCAACCTGGAGTCCCCAGATGTTTTTGGTCTACAACTCCCAGAAATCCCATCCAGTTTACCAGCTGTTAGGATTTCTGGAAGTTGAAGGCCAAAAACATCTGGAGAACCCAGGTTGAGAACCACTGCTCTAGATAATTTTAGTAATGTAAACATTTTAAAAAATCCCAAGTTGCCTTCTGGGCATTAGTAAGGAAGTGAACTTTTATTTCTTTATGAGGAATTTAACATATTGATTTTTTTTATTCAAGAAAGAAATAACAATAGAATGCTAGTAATAATGCAAATGCACAATATTTTATGATAAAAGCACAAACACAAAAATAAAACACATACTTACAAACAAACAATAAAACAAACAATAAAACAAACAAACAAACAATAAAACAAACCTCACAGTCACTATCTGATGGTTTTCAACTTTTATTATCCTACTCCCTTTAAATTGTATTATATAATCACACTTCTACTTTTGGTAACACTCTTCTTATTCCTAAATCCTACAATTGACAAGGCCCTCTGGTGGCACAGCAAGTTAAAATGCTGAGTTGCTAAACTTGCTGACCGAAAGGTTGGTGGTTTGAATCCATGGAGCAGGGTGAGCTCCCACTGTTAGGCCCAGCTTCTGCCAACCTAGCAAGTCGAAAACATGCAAATGTGGGTAGATCAATAGGTACAGCCATGGTGGGAAGGTAACAGTGCTCAATGCAGTCATGCTGACCACATGACCTTGGAGATGTCTATGGACAATGCCGGCTCTTTGGTTTAGAAATGGAGAAGAGCACCACTCCCCAGAGTCAGACGTGACTAGGCTTAATGTCAGAGGAAACCTTTACCTTTTTACTGCTGACAGCTGCCCCAATTTAGGATATTGAGATTTAGATACTGCATTCAGATTGTATTCCAGTTTCACAGCCGTGTCCACATTCAGATATTGTTGCAAATACAAGTGAATCCATTTCCAAATGCAACCACCCAAAACAAGTGCTGTGATAAGCATCTGGCATCCGTGTGTCCTTACTCAGATCCCTATTGCTGAAACTGTCTAATAGGAAAATGATTTGGCAGGCCTAACCAATACCCACAAACTGTGTGTGCCACTAAAACAATTCTTCCTTTCTGCAGTTCCAGAAAATGAGAATGTCACTGGAAGACACTCTCCCTGCATTCAGGACCCTCCAGACAGAGGTAAAACAGAATCTTGGCCTTTTAAAAAAACTTCTTGCTGGACCTGCAAGACAATTTAAAACACATATTGGAAGGAAGGGCTTTGAGCATTAGAAAATAAAGCTTCATTAGATTACCAATTGTTTAGCTTCAATTATGTCTGTTATGTATATGGCATCAAATTGTTGCCTTTGTAAGGCTGCTCTGAGCCCCCTTCGGGGTTGAGAAGGGTAGGGTATAAATACTATAAATAAATATATAAATAAATAAATTCTGTATTAATTTATCCTTCTGTTCTTAACATATTCCCCTTTCTTTTTCTTCCAATGGACTCTTCAGTAGTTTCTTTGCTACTACTGCCATCCTGTAATTCATACAAAGTGTCTTTTCTCTCATCACTTCTCCCATCAGCCTGAGAATCCTCTAAATTATCTAACCCCCCCCCCCCCCCCCCCCCCCCCCAATTCTGGTACAATTACTAATCAGAGACCGCTAAGAATCATTATTCTCAGCCTATAATTGGTGATCATGAGGCACAGCTTTTTAAATGGCCCCACCGATATGAAACTCTGTTCTAGTTCATTTGTGCTTTGCCCATTCAGTTCAGATCTTGAAAAGTTATTAATTTTACCATAACATTTCCTTAAGCACATAAATAGCGTTTGTAGATATCTGTCCACTTAACTTCAAAGATGAATGGCAATGTGAACTTTGTTTTTCCACATCCAAGTGTGTTAACTGAAAACGCTGCCTTTCAGTAAAGGGAAAGTTGAGTTCACAATTTCTGGAATTCACCATTAGCTAACCACATACTATGTTTTAGAGACACTCAACTCTTGAAAGGGTGTAGTTGATTATTCATGGTTATCTCAACCTGTGGACTTACTTTCCTTGATCCTTAGGATAGCGACATGCAGCAGATCCACTACCAACAGGAATATTGGCAGCGCCATCAGCAAATAGCAGAAATACATGAGCGCCAATTGGCTGATATCCAATCCAGAAACCAACACTTGGAACAACAGAAGAATGGTAAAAGAAAATGAGGGCGTATTCCTGATTGCGTCAATTTTTGTCTTAAAGAAAATAGTCTTTTCAAAATATATACAGGAGGTTATAACTAAGCAAGAATTTGAGCATCTGAAAATATGTTGATTTGTATGAGGTGATCTAATGCTGTACAGGCAGTCCCCAAGTTGTAAACAGCTGACTTACAAACAACTCATAGTTAAGAACAGGGGTGAGACAACAGGAGGTGAGAGAAATCTACCCCTAGAAAGGGAAATTCACAGCTGAAAGAGTTATGATTGGGGAAAGGTGTCTCCACTGAAGCTTTATCACCAATCCTTGTTTCCACAACAAGCCAAATTTTTCAAAATCCCATTTTATTTTGTGATATAAATGTTTATTGTGTTATATGAAAATACCATACAGAATACAAAATTCAAAAATACAAATACAAATATTGTTTCCCACCCCGTGAACCACCATCCATGACTTCTGACACCACTCAGTATGGAACTAGTAATCTTTCCTTTTCATTTCACGAATAAATTCCCTATGTGGCTATTTCAAAGTCTATTTTTGTCTTCTTTTTAAAATACCCAAATACAAGTCTCCATGTTTTTAAACAAAATCTTCGTTATTTCCTCCCCATATGCCATTGGAGAGCTTGGCCATTTGGATATACTCTACTAATTTTCTTCTCTAATCCTTAATGAGTAGTTCTTTTTCCCCTTTCCAAGATTTTTCTATTATAATTCTTGCTGCCACAAAACTATATTGGCAAATTTCTACATCTTCTTTACTGATTATCTTATTAAACAAACCCAATAGACATATTTCTGGGACCAAAAGTGAGGTGAAGTCGTCTGAAGAGGGGTACAGACAGCAAAGCAAACACTACAGGGGTGTTAAGCCTTCCCTATTCTATCCAAAGCTTATATATAGATATAAATATTTGGCTGGAATTACACTTAAAATGTAACCTGGAGGCACACTTTAAAATGTACAAACACATTCAACTTAAGAACAAACCTACAGAACCTATCTTGGTAATAATTTGGACACTGCCTGTATATCTTTTACCCAGAGATCCACAAACGCCTGGAAGAGTTGAAATTAGGGAACTCAGCTACATCTCATATAGAGCAGTTGCTAGTGGAGCTGAATGCTCAGGAAGGAAAAAACCAGCTTGCTCTGGATGCCCTGCGGGAACAAGTGGGACTGCTGCAGGTAACAGCAGAGAGCAGGTAAGACTCAGTTTTAATGGTGAATATGTCAGTATTCCGGGGTCAGGACATTCCTCATCCATACTGGTTGCTTATAATTCTGACACAACCCAATGTACATAATGTGCAGGGATCTGAAAATATCTTGGAGATTTTTCCCATTATCAATCACTTGGGTGACATGGATGGTGATGCGGGAGACGCACTATATATATAATACATACAAAACTATCACAGACTCTTACGTAATATCCGCTTCCTCCTTGTCTACAGTCTCATAGGATCCTCTATATACATTTTAGTTTAATTTTACATTGACATGGATGGCATATAATTTTAAGAGGCCAATTGGGTTAATACAGTAATTGAATGTGCATTCATTGCTGGTCATGGGACAGTGTCCTCATCTATACCTGGAAATAGCAGACTGGACTAGGAGGTCCTGAGCAGGCCACGTGCTGTATACTCTTCAGCTTTCTCCTTCAGCCCTTCCTGCTAGTTGAGGCAGTTGCCTCGCCCAGCCTAGTTATAAGACCAACCTTAAGCATCATTGTTGAAGGAATCATGAAGAAATCAAAGGGGCCTTACACATATTTTTATTCATATATCCTGGGTTTTTTTAGGAGCAAACCAGAACCCACCGCCATGATAAAATCAGACAATGTTACAGACAAGGCAAAGGAGAAAGTCTTCTTCAAGTCTATGCCATTTCTACCAGCTGTTGGCCCTCTCTCTTCAGAGATACAGTGAGTACAGAGGAAGGGGCAAGACTGGGTAAGGCAATGGATAATTAATAGAATTAATAGAATTTTTTTTACCAATTATACTTTCCATTGTTATTGCATGTGGAACTTTCCCTCTTCCCCTTTTTGAGATGTTCATCTATCGCAGTGGTTCTCAACCTGTGAGTCCCCAGATGTTTTGGCCTTCAATTCCCAGAACTCCTAACAGCTGGTAAACTGGTTTGGATTTCTGGGAGTTGTAGGCCAAAATACCTGAGGAACCACAGGCTGAAAACCACTGATCTACTGCAAAATGCACTCAAGACTTTATGAAACCCGATTTTAGGAAATACTGAGTTAGATCACATAGAAATGATCTTTAGGAGAGATATTGAAATTGCAGGAGCAGATAATTGCAGTCACACAATGGAAGGTGTCTAGCGAAAGCAGAATGGATACGTAAACACTTTCATTAGGACTTATATTGAAAAAAAGTCAAGAAATGGGAGAAGGGGGGATTTAACCAAAAAGAAATCTAAAAAAGAAGCCAGGACTTGAAGAGGGAAAATTAACTGAGATTTGCTAGAGAGATAAAAACTAACAAAAAGATGTTTTCTGACAATATTCAGAGCAAAACAAAGAACAATAGAACATTTATTCAACACTAGGAAGAACTTGCTGATGGTAAGAGCTACTGAATAATGGAAAAACTGCTCCAGGAGATAATGTCCTCCTTTGAAGGTTGCTGAATCACATAGCCATCCCTCAGTTTACCAAGTTCATGTTGATTTATTTAACCACCTCTTGTTGACACTAGCAAGTGGATTTAACTCCTAGGGTCCTTCCACACAGCCGTTCAACCCAAAATATCAAGGCAAAGAATTCCACAATATCTTCTTTGAACTTGTTTATCTGAGTCCACACTGCCATATATATAACTCAGTTCAATGTGGGATTTGATAGAGTTGTGCGGAAGGGGCCCTAGTCAGTAGGACTGCCATTCGCCCTCCCCACCCCATGCAACCCTATGCAATATTCAAGTTGCATGAAATGCCGAAATTAAGCAGTTGTAGCTTTTCTATCATTAATTTCCATGCCAGTAACAACTCTGGGGTCTATACATAAAGTCCAACTAATAAGGACAGGGAAAACATATTGAAGAGAATGTAGCAACATTGTCAGGAAGCTGAGGCTGCTTTTGTATATCCTCACAGGTCTGTATACCTGGCTTATGTGCAGAGTGGAGGCAGTGATGTCAACGTCCTTCGTCAGATGTATGAGTTGCAGGTAGAGGCTATAGCACTGGAGAAAGCTGAAGCAAGGCCTGAACACAAGAGCAGAAAGAAGAGTGAGCTCTGTTTCCTTGTCTTCCTTTCCATTGCCTACATTTTAATCACAGACTAGGTGCCTTTTTGGGACTTTTAATATAGATCAGGCTTGGGGAAACATTGGCTCTCCAGGTGTTTTGGACTTCAACTCCCACAATTCATAACAGCTGGAGCGAGAGTTGAAGTCCAAAACATCTGGAGGGTCAACGTTTGCCTGTGCCTGGTCTAGATTTTGCACATCTCCTCTGATTTGATCAAAGCTTTGTTGTTCATATACTATGTGAGGATTTGATTACACTGGGCAGTATCATCTTGTGTATGAAAGCTGATAAGATTTAAAAAATGTGTTAGTCTTCAAAATGTTATAGGCCTGTTTAGATAAATCTAGGAAGTTTGACAAATGTTTCCTTCCTCTGATACGTATCTCTCCAAATCTTGTCGCTCATTAGCTTTTCTTGCTGTCATTACAGAATATGAAAGCAGCCCCAGTGCCTATTCAAGGGGTCTGGATGCTGAACTCCTGTCTGTTGAGCTGGAAAACCAGAAGTTGGAAGACGAAATACTAAAATTAAAGATCCTTAAGGACAAAAGGAGAATACAAGATGGTATGGTCTGCCTATGTTACTATAGTTGAATCAAAGATAACAGCTGGGGAAGCTTGGGATTCATCACAAAATTATTGATCTCATTGCCATTAGTAATAGTAGCAATAATAATACTAGCAAAAGTCAACAACACTGCTTTGGGGGAAGATTGTTTTCATGATAGATCGGCAACCACTTCTTCAATCAAGGACTGGAGAATATTGTTTGCATCTTAGTAAAAAAAATTCACAAGGATCTCTTCACTCTGGAGCTTCAGCAGGAATGACATAATGTTCAGTAGTTATTTGAACAGATGGACAGTGATTCTGGCCTGATTTGCTGCTGACCAAAGTTGGCTTTTATGATTATCTGTTATTGGGAGAAATTCTAAAAGATGGAAGAAGTGACTTGGCTGCTTGGCTGCTTGGCTGCATTGTGTTAACCTGGGACTTCCTGGTTCATCTGATATGTGCACAGTTTCAGTTTCCAAGAGAATATTCTTGTACTTTTTGACCTTAACTTTACCCAGACTTTCCAAAAATATTACTGGGGGGGGGGGGGGGGGGGGGGGGGGAGAGGGAGAGAGATTGCTAATGATAAAATATAGCCCTTGAAAAAAATTCCATATTTATTTGCTGCATTTATATCCTGTCCTTCTCACCCCGAAGGGGTCTCAGGGTGGCTCACAACAAAGACACAATTCAATGCCATAAATTATTTACATATATAGAATAAATCAGCATATACTTTAAAACCACATAATTAAAACATATAAATCTTAAAACAATTAATATCACACAATCCAAATTCATATTTCAGGAGCCATTCTGGTTGTCAATTGCATTATTCATTATTGCACTGGGAGATCATTATCGCACATGAGAATCATTGTCCCACATCCATGTCTTCACTTTCTTCCTGAAGGTCAGGAGGGAGGGGGCTGATCTAATTTCTATTGGGAGGGGAGGTGCAAACTGTTAAATATGAAAATGAAAAGACCCCAACAGTTCCTACTTCTCTTGTAAAACAGAAAATGAGGATTGTGTAGAAAACAAAGTTAGAGCTGACACAAACAGCTCCACTTAAGCTTTCTGGTTCTCTGGTGGCCTTTCCTGGAGGCCACCACTGAGAAGGCCCTGTCTCTCATCCTCACCAGTTGCACTGGTGAGTCTGGTCAGATTGAGAGCAGGGCCTCCTCAGATGATCTTACCCTCCAAGATGGTTCATAGAGGGAGATACGTTCGGACAGGTAAACTGAGCTGGAACCGTTTAGGGCTTTATAGGCTGAAGCCAGCACTTTGAATTGTGCTTGATAGTAGACTGGCAGCCAGTGGAGATGACATAACAGGAGAGTTGTATGTTCCCTGTACCCCTCTCCATTAAGGAACCTTGTCTGCCACCCATTGGACTACTTGAAGCTTCCAAACTGTCTTCACAGGCAATCCTGCATAGAGCGCATTGCAGTAGTCTATTCTGGATGTAACAGGAGCGTGGACTACCGTGGCTAAATCTGACTTCCTCACTGAGACCAGTCTTGGCCTAATAGCTTCATGTGCATGATGTGCTATCTGTTAATGGACATTATCACAGTTGTTTTGTCCTTCAGGAGGCACAGCTGGGCTATTGGATACCGCTAATTTTGCCAAAAATGGATCAAGAGTTTAAACTAACTTTTAGTTAAGTTATCATAAAATCTCATAAGGACTAATTTCTAAAGTCTGTATTCCAACATTTCCCACAGAAATCTGTCTTTCTTACAGTTCTCTCCTTGCCTAGGCGCAGTGTGCTACATTAATTAGATGCTTTGTTCCTTTGACCAGAGTCTTTGGACACAGAACTGGCTAAGCTGGAGCAGAGGCACATGGCAGAGATGGCTCAGCTTCATGCTGAGATTGACAGATTGAGACAGGACCCTGAGAGGATGAAACCCCGAGGCCCCAGGAGGGGGTTGCCACCCCTATTGCCACCTCCTATAGCTCCTCCTCTGCCATCACCTCCTGCTCATCTTCACAGCCTCCCAGACCCTGCCTTTCTATCTAGCGGTGTGGTAAGTGTCTTTTCTATTCAGAGAGAATTCTTTTGCAGAAGACTTGCCTACCGAGTTGAAATAGTCATCAGTAAGAATATGTATCGTTTTGACATTTTGGAGTTGTCATCCCAGGTGGCTGATTATCCCATTTCTATTAACTCCAGTGGCTTTGCTTTGGTTAATATGAGAAGGGTAGTCCAGAAAAAAAACACTCTCACATCTCCATTTCATCCCTCTGATGCTTCAGTAATGGCTTATTTACCTGAATATATTGTTACATGGTAACCATAGGAAAAGACTGCTCTTTTCTAATCCTGCAGAATATTAAGATACTTCTTTGTTGGATCTGGCTATTGAATCCTTGACTGTCAACCCGAAAAATAAGTGACTACCTTCCAGCTTAACACAACAAATGTTGGAGAAAGGTGTACTAAGTGTGCCATGCTCCACCAATAGGAAATATTGTATTATCCGATTTGCCTAGGCCAGTGGTTCTCAACCTGTGGGTCCCCAGATGTTTTGGCCTTCAACTCCCAGAAATCCTAACAGCTGGTAAACTGGCTGGGATTTCTGGGAGTTGTAGGCCAAAACACCTGGGTACACATAGGTTGAGAACCACTAGATTATAGGGATTAATTTTAATGCTCCAGAGCATCCTGTACTTTCGAAAGAACCAAGTCACATTGGAGCCTCTGGTGGAAGAACCACTGGCCTAGGAGTTAATTATTTGTTTGAAGCTATGGTGTGGTATTGTGGGAGGACTATTGGTTATGAAGGATGATTCAATACTATTGCAACAAGTGATGATCAAATTCATCCGGTTTCTTCCTGTTACAGGACCCCATGAGATCATCTGCCAGAGCCACAAGCCATTATTTCCTGGATCCCTCTGATGCCCTGGGACCAGCTCCATATGATCCAGCGTATGTCTTCCCCCACTCCCCCTTTATTGAAGGCATGGTTTACTTGTACTCTCCATCCTTAAGGGGCACATAATGAGGTCTTTACTAAGAGGACAAAGAGAAAACAATTTCTTGGTGTCTTGATTTTTAGTTTGTGAGCTGATTCAGACAATTGCATTGAACAGGCTGCATTAGCTCTAGTTTCTTAGATATGGTTATCATTGTTTTCTATGGGCAAGCACATGGCAAATGGTAGACAGCATATGTCTGGCTGGTGCCATTTTTCAAATCAGCAGGTCAAATATACCCAGAAACAGGGCAAACTTTTGAGGCACCAAAATATGTTTTGGTCAGTGAATGCACAGTGAAGGTGTTCCGCTTCCCCCATTCAATTATCATGGAACCAAAACAGTCTGTGCATTCCACATCCCACTCAGCTCTAAGAAAGTAACATCATTCATGCTAAATGAGAGTGAAATATTCTCCTGTTTCTGCAGGTCTGGTTTTGTGATATTTTATGATTTTCTCTTGGGTCTGGATCCCACATGTTACCAAGTTTGTCTGGTCTCTGCTCTGTATCGTAACGGACAAGAGCTGGGCAAGCCCACTCCACTGCCCATTGTCTCCTCAGATATGGGACAGTCCTCACAGTATGTGATGGACAGACAAAGAGGGTGTTGTGCCATCTTAGCAACCCGACAGCCAGTCCCTAGGTGAGTTTCAGTTACTGTGTTCATTTGTTTTTTTTAATTTATAAAACATATATTTGTTGTTGTAACTTGCCATCAAGTCTTCATTGACTTGTAGTGAAGTTATGAATGAGAGACTACCTAGAATCCCAGTCACCAGCAGCCTTGCTCAGGTTTTGCAAACTCCTTGACTAAATCAATCCATTTGTAATGTGATCTTCCTCTTTTCCTTCTGTTATCCCTCTAGTCCACTGAGTTATGTTATCTCATGATATTATAAAAGTACAACAGCCTATGCTGAAGCAAGCTTCATTTGCTCTTAGGCCCATTTATTTGTCTTTGTGGAAAACATTGTTATTTTTCTGGCAAATAAATAAATAATACAAATTCAGAACTCTTCTCCAACACTACTATTTGTATGAGTTGACTCTTTTCTTGTGAGTTTTCTTCACCATCCAGCCTTCCAGGCATGCCTCAAATACCCTAAAGGAACCAGAATCTGTTTGATCTTGAAAGCAAAACAGAATCAGCCTTAGTACCTGGATGAGAGACTAAAAACAAGTACCAGGTGTCTTTGTTGAGAGGCAATATTTCATAAAATCATAGACTCATAGAATCATAAAGTTGGAAGAGACCTTGTGGGCCATCCAGTCCAACCCTCTACCAAGAAGCAGGAAAATCGCATTCAAAGCACCCCTGACAGATAGCCATCCAGCCTCTGTTTAAAAGCCTCCAAAGAAGGAGTCTCCACCACACTCCGGGGCAGAGAGTTCCACTGCTAGGAAGCTCTTTGAGAGAAAGGAACTGGCAAAAACACTTCTGAGTATTCCTTCCCTTAAAAAACGCATAAAATTCATGGGGTCACCATAAGTCAACAAGTAATTTGAAGGCCTATGCACACATTCTCGTATAGATATCAGAAATAATAAAACATGGATGATTCTGACTGTTTATTTTTCCTAAAACTGTGTTGAAATCAAATATAACTATTCAAAAATTTGTTTATAAACAGCAGTAGGAAAACAGCTAACCATCATAAGCTATTTTTGTGTGAAGCAACTAAAAGTTGCCAACACATAGGGATGATTGCTTAGAAGAGAATATATTTCTGCTGCTGCTGTTTGCAAATATTAAAAATAGAGATCGCCATATGGCTAGCCAAGGGACAGACTGCAGGAACTTTACAAATATTAAACAGTTGGTCCCTTGGCTAGCCAGATGGTGATCTCCATCTTTCTGTATATTCTGTGCTTGGTGTGTTACTTTTATTTTTGCTCTAAAGAAAGCCTCAGAGCCTTGTGCTACTTTCCTTTAGGTATGCTGTGTTGTCTAGTTTCTATGAAATGATTTGATTCAGTCTAACTTTGCAACTGACAGATTCTGTCTCTTCACATTTAAAATGCATTTGTAGTAAATAATATCTAAATAGTAATAGCCTCTACGACCACTGATTGTGAAGCAAATATACAACACCAGAATTTGGCAGTACGAGGCATTCCCTTTTTTTTAAAAAAACTATCAGCTATAGGATTCTGGGAATTAGTGTGCAAACAAAGTGACTTTTCCAAGCTCTGAAATTCTGCCAATCTCATGGTTTTCATAGGGAAAAAATGTAGGTACCATTCACCTGTGTTAATTGTTTTTCAGAATTCTCCCTTCAACTTCTATTGCCCTTGTAACTGAACTTCAAGCCTCCGGAGGCTTTGATGCTTATGGACTAGAAATAGAGAGCTTGGCTCCCAGAGGGTGGGCCAAAATCCAGATTTTTGACCAACTGCATCAAGTGTTGAGTGGCCGATGGAAGGTACCTATCCGGGTGCTTCCTGTGAAGCCAGGCCTTAATGTGGAGCAAATGAATGGTGTGCCTCAGGTAAGGAGCTTTAACAAGGATCAAAGCAGAACCAAAACCAAGGGCCATTCCACACAGCCTATATCCCAGAATATTAAGTCAGAAAATCCCACATTATTTGAGTATGGACTCAGATAACCCAGTTCAAAGCAGATATTGTGGGATTTTCTGCCTTGATATTCTAGGATATAGGTCTGTGTGAAAGGGCCACAAGATTGTTATTTGCAACAACTGCTTTCTGTTAACCATTAAGAGATCATCCTGCTAATTGTCTCAAGAAGGTCTTGGTGTACCATTACTCCAATTCTTCACACTGAATCCCTCCATCCTCCATTGCATCTCTTCCATGTCACTCCTTGTGATCTAAGACAGTTTTCCTCTTAGGTCTTCTCCACTTGATACATATTTTCTCAAAATAATGATTTACAAAAGAATAGCCATATTAGATAGGCAGGGCGAAAAACAACACTCTGATGTTTTTCCTGGGGCAGTGGCTAATTCTGAGAAGGCAGATCCGTGGACAAACCAAGGTGTGTTTTTCAGTCTCCCATTTGGTTATACAGTGTTCCCTTGCTACTTCGTGGTTTGCTATTGCTGTTTTGCGGGTTTTTGAAAATATTAATAAAAATATAAAATATATGTGTCCAGTGGAGGCAAGGGACCCCAGAAGTGCGGTGGCCTGAGGTGCGGCAGGGAAGGCCTGCCTTCCTGACCTGCTGCTGCCTGCATGGCTCCGGAGGTTCTGCAGAGGCCAGGGAGGTAGTCAGGCGCCCTTGGGATGGGCCAGGAGGCAGGTAAGGAAGCACGGGTAAGAAAATAATATATAAAACATATAAAATAATGCATAAATATTACAATTAATATGGCATCCCTACTTCATGGATTTTCACATATTGCGGGTAGTCCTGGAACGGAACCCCCGCGATAAGTGAGGGAACACTGTATTTACATGTGTTTTAATACTCAGCTAACAAGACCTGACCTTGCTTTACCTCACAGGCTGGCAAGGCTGAGCTTTACTTGCGACTAGTGAATGCAAGAGATGCTGATATCCAGTCAATGGCTGAGGTCCATCCTGGCAATGCCTCCCTGTACAAATACCCTCCCACAGTGAGTCCAGCTCTGTGACACCTGCTGTTTTAGCTGTATTATTTGTTTGTCCCTTTGTTTCCCCTGAATCTGCCACCTTCCTGCTTTAATGCTGCTGTGTTTTCTTCTCTCAAATGCAGGCGTTCAGTGGCACAGCATCTTCTGCTGATGCCCTTCCAGCCCAGCGCTCCTTTCACCCTGCCCTCACCAGCCTGTCCTTTTCTGTCCCTCCTTACACTGGCTTTGTTGACCCTCCTCCAAATCAGGAACAGTCTGTCCAACACCAATCTAATAAAAGGTGAGGAAAAAGGAAGACAGCCACCTTTCTCCCCACTCCCCCATTCCCCCTCAAAGTCCAAACTGTCCTCCTAAGAATAAACAAATCAGTGTGTGATCATTAGTGTTTGCATATATCTGTGTACTTTATGTTAAAATGGCTTAAAATAAAACATGTGCCTCTATTCCAACAATATTTGTGATAATTTTCTGCTTGATCCATATATCGTTTTTAAAGATTTATTGGTGTGTGGCTCTGATGGTGGCAAGATTCAGTTTGGGTGATTGATTAATTTCTTCTACTCCCTATAAACACTGTACATCATGGAAATGCTCCACTTGCACAGCAGAGATAAATTATAGTAGTCTCTGTGTGCGGGTGACCACAGTAATCTAAGGTACAAATGCTGATCACATGTTCTCCCACCTGTTTTTATAGTGCTGGGTGCCAGTTTAGGGTGTCCCCTGGGCAACTTTCTTGCAAATGGCCAATTCTCTCATACCAGAAATGACTTGCAGTTTTTAAAGTTGCTCTTGACGTGAAAAAAAGACCTCCTTGGCTGTTAACGAAAACAGAAATGACTACATTCAGAGATGTTATTTATTTCATATCACTACACAGAGCTTGGATATTTTTTTGTATGGATGCTAGCTGAACTTGCTTCCTCCTTGGATTGGTCCTCCATGCACCAGCTGAGTCCCTTTCTGCATGCATAGGGGCACACAGAGTGATAACACAGTGTGACACAATTTTTGTTCTTGGTTTATAAATGTAATTTCTTAATTGGTTCTGTCATAAAAACATGAAAAGTTTATTAAACTGCAAAACTTTGTTTTTGCGGTTTTTTGCAGTTTGCACATTGAAAGGTTAAAATTGGCATATTTTCATTAAGAACTTTTGGGCTTTACGTAATAGAAGGATAAAAAACAACACTGTATATCAAAGCCACAAAAACAAAGTTTCTGTAGCATTACAACTACTTTCAAAGTAAGTACTGCACAGTTAAACAGGAAATAACACTTTCAAACCAGGAACAGAGTCTATTCAGGCCTATATATTTTCACCATTCTAATAGAGGAGAAACAGCACACAAGCTACCTTTTCCTTTAAAACTTTTCTATGTGTTGCTTTAATTCAACAACTATTCTCTGAAATTACATCATCCCATATCAGTAGTGTCAGCTCAAATGCATATTTTCTGAGGTTTCTGTCATTCATCTTAGATTATCCTATGTCAGCCTCCAGTTAGTAAAAGGCTTATTACTTAATATGAACCATGTTTTTTTTTATATTGTGCACTTGGCAAATAGTTTTTAGATGTAATACAATGAGAATTGGTCATATCTTTTAAGAGAAATATGTATAAATTACATACTCCTACCAACAATATTATATTCTTTCAACTTAATTTTCTGTACATCACATATCACTTATCCATATGTTCAACTGCTTCTACCATTTCTTCCCTGCTTCCTAATACCTAAGTGGTTAAAGTTTGAGGCTTCTTGCCTTAGTATTGCAATCAGTTTAGAAGTAGCAACCTTCCCTTTCCTGTCTTTGTTTCTACTGTCTCCTACTGTCCTGGCTGTGGCACTGGCAACATCAAGACATCAAGAAAAAAGGCTTCTCTGTATCATTCCAGGTAAAGACTAAGTATATTTCCCTCCCTTTATGTCTATGGGAAGATAATCTCTCCTGTCTCTCAGCACAACTGTTGAAATAGCCAGAAGTGATCAAAACTGTTTGGGTTTTCAGATCCACCAGCTATCACAAAACTATCACATGTTTTTTTGCAAAATATCATTCTGCTACATAAAGAGCTAACCCACACCATCCTCTTGAACAAATTATATGAAGCTACAGATAGCTAAAAACCAGGACCATTACTAAAGACTGAAAAACTTCAGAACAAAGGACTAAGAAAATTTGCATAAATTGACTAAGAAAATTTGCATAAATATCCACTCTGTATTCATATAGGATAGTAATAGAATTAGTGTCCTATTTAAAAGATTCAAAGTTGCAGCCCAAAGGATCCATGTTTAGAGAAATCCTTACCCAAAACATTTTGACTGTATATATACAATGAGATGTTGTGCTCTCTTTCTGGATACCAGACAGCAGTGGCAACAAGACAGTGGTCATGTAGAGATCAAAAGCAATTATTATACAGGCAGTCCCAGAGTTACAAACATCCAACTTCCAAAACTCATAGTTGAGAATGGAGATGAGACAACAGAAAGTGAGAGGAATCTCCCCCTAAGAAGGGAAATTCACTCCTGGAAGAGTTATCATGGGGAAAAGGGGTCTCCACTGAAGCTTTCTCACCAATCCTTGTTTCCACCACAAGCCAAATGGCTCAAAATCCAATTATCATAGGGGCAAAAAAATGAGGTGAAATTTTCTGGACAGAGGCACAGACCACAAAAAAAGCACCACATATATATGTGGCTGGAGTTACACTTTGAAAACATACCTGTTCCGACTTACATACACATTTAACTGCCTGTACTGAAATATGGGATGCCAGGGGAATCAAAAGGAACAGATAAGAAAGGATGCTGCCATTATCTCCTCTGCTTCCCCTACATTCACTGCCTATAGTGACAAGCTAACAGTAAGGCTAGCCACCAGAAGGATTGGTCCAAAAGTACAGTACTTCAAAAGCAGTGTGGTTGTGAGGAAATCTGTTACTCTGCATTCTTTATCAGATCATTTGTTACTCCCATATACCTTATATCATCTGTCAGGTATGGCTTTCATCTGGATCAAGTTCAACTGCTTGACTAGCAAGTTTTTTGTTTGGTGGGAAACAAACATTTTTTTCTCAGGGTGGAAGAATGCTGCATGCTGTTTCAAAGGATATCAAGAGTATGTTAATAGCAATCTGATTATTTTAGAAGAAGTGACACAGCACTCCAGAGGCCACAACATCAGCAGCAGAAAGAAAAAGGAGAATTGGGGTTCATCCTTGATAGAGTGAAAGGTGCTCCACTTGGAGATGGGGCCATCCGTCTGACAGGTTACCATCAGAAAACTGGTCAGGTAGGAACCCAATGTGTCATTAGACCCACTTTTGTACAATGGCTAGTGCCCTCGATTAGGAAGCAACATTCTTGGGTCCAACATTACTGCACTCCTAGCCTGGCTATAGGGGGAAGGCTTGGATGCTTTCCATGCAAATATAGGAATAAGCTCTGGCATTGTTAGGTATGACTGGGGAAAACTTTTGTCTGAAATAGTGACCAACCATTGCTAGGCTATATAGGCAACACAGAGCTAAATATACCAAAGTTTTGATGTGTTGTATGAAAGTTTTCTGTATTCTTCAAGGTAGCTAGAAGCAAGCTACTTAGTTGAGGAATAAGTTGATGTAATCTTCAAGGTAGCGAGAAACTACTTTGGTGAGGAAGAGGTTGATGAATACCAAATGAATTAATGTAATAAAACACATGAAAATAACTTAAGGAACAAACTAGAGCATCTGTCACCATTTAAAATGCTACAACTCTTTTCTCTAGGTGATTGGCACCAGAGATTCAGGACTGAATTACTGTACTGATCCTGTCAGATCCAACATCAAATATGGCTACTTCGTGTTAGGAGAGCAGGAGGTACAGAATGGTATCCTGGGCAGAGAATATTAGGTTTGGAGACTGGGAACTCAAGTTCACATTCTTGTTGTGAAGCTTACTAACTGTCTTTAGACAAATTATTATCTTTAAGATTTAGCCAACCTCATATCTTCTTTCAAAGCCAATAACAAATAAAATATCAAGCTTACAACTTGACTGATCAGGTTGCAAAAGAAGATCAGGTTGCAAAAGAAGACAAAATCCACAAATGTGAGAGGGAAATCTCAACAAGATACGCATGATACATTATACAGTATCCCACAACACTGGAGGAAACTAACTTACAGATGTAGAATCCAATGACTCATCTGGCTGGGCATAATTACCTCCCACAATTCATTTTCATGGAAATCACAGTTATTAATGCTGTGTATTAGTAACTGTATAGTGGACTGTGGTGGAGGCTCCTTATTTGGAGGCTTTTAAACAGGCTGGGTGGCCATCTGTCGGGGGTGCCTTGAATGTAATTTTCCTGCTTCTTGACAAGGGGGGTTGGACCGGATGGCCCACAAGGTCTCTTCCACTCTATGATTCTATGATTCTGTGTATGGACATTACACCAATACTTGCAGTGAGCACCCCTGGTCATGGATTTGGCATCAGCAGTTTGTCTGGGGAATTGCTTCATCCTTTGCCTGAGTTCATGGCTATACAACATTTTTGTTGTTACTTGCAAAAACAAAACAAAAAAATCAGGCTTTGAATCACTTTACCTATGGTATGCTGCACGGTTGAATCTAAACCAGATCTCACTCATTTTTAGTAAATGAGAATGAATAAATTGTTTTAAAAATAGGATACATGGGGGAAGGAATGGATGTGAAGTAATCAAACAGTAAGTATGTATATTGCTTTACTTTATAGTTCCTCTGGGTTGCTTCCTTTCCTTTCCTTCAGGTAACCTTCTGGGATGTTACACCACAGGAGGACATGATCCTTATTATCCGCTTTTACCACTGGCCCAGTGGGAGAATGGCGCCTGCCCCTTGGGACAAAGGAGACAAGCCTCAGCCCCAGCCACTACTGGGGAACGAACAATGGCTAGCTGCCTGGACTGTGCTCAGGTTGACCAAGTGGTCTGAATCCCCTAAAGTGATGCTTGCAGGTATTCCTTTGACCTTCTAACTTACCTGGTATTAGGATACAAGCAGTCTTTTTTCCTGGGCTTAGTTTTTAGAAAGGACAGAAAGTGTGCCACATTTCAGGATAAACCAATTGCCACCAGGTTGAAGAAAACAAGAAAAGATCCATCTTCCTGACTCCAGAAAGATAGAATTACCTTTTAAAAAAGCCATTTTTACCAGCACAGTTCCCAAATGTCAGGCAGATCTAGCCAAGAGAAAAGAAGATACAATTGAATCCAAAAATCTAAGCAACGATGTCTTTCTAATGTTTCAACATGTTTTATTGTATTTGTTTTAATTGTTTTATAAGTTGATACATTGTATTTATTATGATATGTATAGTGCGGCACTGAAATTTTGCCATGATCTGTGAACCACTCTGAATCTCCTTCAGGGTGTGAAGAGCAGGGTATAAATATAGTAAGTAAGTAGTAAGTACCCTCTGCAACTGGGG